TTTTATGGGTACAGTGAAATCTCATTATGTTGCGCCAAAAATCTCTTGCTAATAGCATAAGGGCGTGTCAGTCAATTTGTTGAAATTGACAAAGAGGTTGTAGAAACTGGATCTGGTGCGCGGAGCAGCAGATTAAAAGATTAGAGCGATTTGTGGGGACTGAATCAAAGTCACACCGGAGCATTTAAATCATTGGATCCACAAGAACAAGATTTCCTAAATTTACGCTGCAAGAGCTGTTGTTGATTGAGATTGAGAGAGAATAACAAGTTGATTTTATTGCTGAGAGAGAAACAAGTATTTGATGTTTTAACGTCCGGAGACAAGATATTGAAACAAGGAAATAACACTTCAAGAGTGTTCTTTTGTCCGGAGACAAGATTAAAACAAGAGAAATTTGAAGAACGAGTAAGAACTCATGATGAATAAGAGAAAAAGGCACGGAGCCTGAGAGAAAATAAGCACAGAGCTTGGTTTTTTGCGCGGAGCAAGTTTATAGCTGCAGGAGCTGGTTTGTGTAGCTGTGGAAGCGTGTTTGAAGCTCTGGGATTGATTCCTTTATATAGGGGCGGCATGGGCCTAAAATCTGATGGGCTTGACTTGCTGAGGAAGGCGATTTCCTCCTCCTTAGGAGATGGCAGCTTCCAGGAAGGTGTGGTGAAACTTCCTTCTTCTTCTGATAGCTTCCAACGGATGGGAAGAGAGAGGAGAGCATTCCGGGACGTCATCCCTCTTGATGGAGAATGGCAATTTCCCTTCTTGATGGAAGATGGACAAATTCTCCTTCTTCCTATCGCACTTCAGCATGCCTTTGCTGTCTCCGTTGGGCTGAAATCAACTAACTTAGCTAAGAAGAGGACTTCGGACATCAGGACTTGGAATTTTATCATCAAAGCCACGAAATTAATTATACTTAGCCATATTTAGCTCATCAAATCATAAAAATATCCTTCAATTAAGAAAATGCCTTAAACTTAGGTGACAAAGCCACTTGTCATTAACTGAAAAGAGTGCAAAAGTTGCAAATGAGCTCGGATTAAGCCCAAATTTAACCAATAGGGTTCAAATATCATCCTAAGATCATAGGAAAATCTTGGTTGAATTGAGCTCTCCTTCATGGTGAACTTGGTTTCACACCTCAAACCGTCCTTAATTGAAAATCGTAAATAAGTTTTTCATCTTAAGTCCGATTGAGATGAAATTTTGCCAAAATGATCTATATGACTCAAGGATCATCATGGTATGATTCCTTGTTGGAGCCGCACTCCCTAGCTAGATCAATTTCATTGATTTTCCCTTTTTGTCCTTAATTGAACAAAATGCAAATTCACCTCCCGGGAGGGAGCAACTAGTTGGGCGGCCTCATCATTATGTTAGAGTGATCATGCATGAGAGATGTGAGAAATAAAATCCCACGCCTCCCTTGCATAAGCTTGGTAAACTGTTTGCTGACAAACATTGACTCGCTGACTCCTTAGTTGAAGGAAATAAAGAGGCAGCTTCCTATGAGCAGGGCGGCCTTCCCTGGGTATTGGGAACGACTTGGGATTGATATGTGAGTCCATAAGATGTTTTCCATCCTATGGGATGATGGCATACAACTTTCCTTTTTACTGCTTGTCTCCCTATCTTTTTTTTTTTTTTGAAAGTCAATCTAAAGGGAATTTATTGAGTAAAGAGGCAAAGAAGCAGAGTCTAAAAAACAGAGACCTACAATAGTACATGAGCAAACAGAGACTCAACACCAGAATAAGAACAAGGAAAAAACAAAGAGCAACCAACATGATTAATCAAAAGAAGCAATAAGCGGCACGATACGCTCAACTCCAGTCTTGGCGAGTTCGTCAGCCTCACTATTAGCTTCTCGGAAGACATGGACTGTTCTAAAATCTTTCAATTTCTCTGCCAACAAAGTAATAACAGTCACCCATTTCCTAAATCTCCAGGGGGCTTCGTCAAGTTTAGTCACCCAGCGTATGGCATTTTTGGAGTCACTCTCAATGATCAACCCATGAGACAACGCCTATCTAGAAGCAGCAAACAACACCACAGCTTCCTTGATAGTAATAATCTCCGCCTCATTGGAGTCGGTCGCACCAATGGATTTAGAGAACTTCATCCAAGTCTTGCCCTTCTTATCTCTAAGAATACCCCCAACCCCCGCATCCCCTGGTTTACCCCTAGCTGCTCCATCAACATTAAATTTCAAGAACCCAAGATCGGGAACACTCTAAGAAGCAATTCTACGACTATTCACTACAACTCTCGGCACACTGACTTCATTAATACATCGATAAAGGTCCATAAATGAGCTATCCACATCAGGCCACACTGCTTTAATCCAACACATCAATCTAATTTTGATAATATCAACAAGTTGATGAAAATCGAATACCTTTCTGTTGAAAACAATATCATTGCAGTGAAGCCGAATAGACTAAGTAATAGCGAAAAAAGGCATTCTCCATATGCTAACTTTAGAATGATCTATTAAGGAAAAATTCCAAGACATGAAAAAATGGATATATGGTCTCTAGGTGTAACCCACTCCACATTCCATAAACGACAACAAGCCATTCAAACTAGCCATGAGAACTTACAACAGAAGAAAAGATGCTCCACAGTCTCAACTTCTTTACAACAAAAAGCACAAAGAGTAGAGTCAATGGGGATCAAACCTCTCTTATGAAGTTCATACTTTACTGCCATTTTCCTTCGCAAGAGCTGCCAAACAAAAAATTCTACTTTAGGAGACGCCAAACCTGTCCAAACAAACTTCCACACACCCTCCTTTTCAACTCGAGAATAAGAAAACGCCCTACAGAAAGAATTAGCCGAGAAATGACCCTTCGAATTGTAACTCCAAACAAGCTTGTCATTTGAGTTTTCAACCAGCAAAAAATCATCAATAGTCTCATTAAAATTCTGCCATTGCTCCACTTCCCAATCAAACGGATTCCTCCTAAGTTCCACCTTCCATCTCCATATGCTTCCATCATAAACACCAAACTCACATGCCTTGCCAACTTTAGCTTTAGCCAGCGCAAAAATCCTAGGAAAGGCTTCTTTTAAAGATGACCCATTCACCCATTTATCATTCCAAAAATCCACCCTTCTCCCATTACCAATAGAAATCAACATACCACCTCTAGTGAACAAGGAGACATCATCAACACCAACCAATGGTTTAGAAATGGAACGCCACAAAGCTGAACAATTTCCATTGCTCCTAGATGGAATTAAACCTTCACCATTAAGCCCATTTTTTCCAACAATAACTTTACGCCATAAGTAATTATTCTCATTACCAAACCTCCACAACTATTTATAAAGAAGGGCTCTATTCCTCAATCTTAAATCAAACAAACCCAAACCCCCACGGTCTTTAAAATTACAAAGAGTATTCCAATCCACATAATGAATTTTTCTCCCATTGTCAACACCAGCCCACAAAAAACTCCTCATCAATTTATCCAACTCCATTTTAACCGACACCGACAAAGGGAAAAGGGACATATAGTTGACTAGGCAACTAGCCATAACAGATTTAATAAGCACCAATCGACCCGCAATAGACAAGTGCTTATCCAATTTGCAAGCTTTTTCTTACACCGCTCCACCACCGGTTTCCAAATAGCAATGGAATTTGGTCTAGCTCCAAGAGGCAGCCCCAAATACATACACGGCAAGGAACCCACATTGCATTTAATCTTATCAGCCCACTCCTTAACCTTGTTTTGATCAATATTTATCCCAATGAGACTGTTTTTGGCAAAATTGATCTTTAAACCTGACACTAATTGGAAGCAACGAAGGACTTTTCTAGCATTTTTTACTTGCTCCCCCTTAGCTTTGCAAACAATGAGTGTATCATCAGCAAATTGAAGATGAAACACATTCACACTCCCAAAATCAATTTCTTGAAACAACCCAATATCAACAACTTTGCTAATGAGTAAACTCAAAGCTTCACCTATCATATTGAAGAGGGGGAAAGTGGACAGCCTTGTCTCAACTCTCGAGAAGCAGAGAACCTCTTACCAACCGAACCATTGATCAAGACTGAGATTGTAGGTGTAGTGACACACCTCATGATCCATTGAATCCAATTCTCACCAAAAGCCATTTTCTTCATAACAAACTCCAAAAATTCCAATCCACACTATCATAAGCCTTCTCAAAGTCGACTTTGAAGCACACACCACCTTCTTTACTTTTCTAGAGTCAACCACTTCCTTGGCAATAAGAGAGCAATCCATAATCTGCCTCCTTTTAATGAATGCAAATTGTGATTCCCCAATAATTTCAGGCAAAACAGTTCTCAATCTTCTAGAGAGAACTTTGGCTAGGATTTTATCCCTATCTGACAGCAGTATTAAAGGAAACTGCTTCCTAATAGCCTATCATGTCACTTCCCTGGTCAAGGGCGGCACCCAAGGGATAATTAATAATAATTATTTTGAAAAATAATTATTTAATAATTTTCGGCCCTTAGTAATTAATTAAAAGATTTTCCTAATTCTATTAGAACTAGGGTGGTGTAGAAACTAAATTTCATCAGGATTTTTAATTAAATCTTGACCACACATCTTAATATTATTAATGTGAATACCAATTTACCCTCAATTGTAAATTGAGGTATAAACACATTACAATCAGAATTTGTGCCTAAACATCATATAAGAATTCAATCCAAACTAAGGAATTGACTTAAATTAACTACTTACAAACTACACAAACAAACTACTCTCTCTGATCCATTTTAAGTGTCACAAATAAAGTTTTAGTTTATTTCATAATAAGTGTCACACTTATAAAACCAATACAATTTTTAGTGTTTTCACCATATATAACCCTAATTAATGGGGAGCTAGGGGGAGAGAAGATAAATGTAATTAATAAAAGGTTGGGTTGTTTAGGTAATTTAAAATATTTTATTATTATGTGTGATATTTCTAATGTGACACTTATTTTGGATCGGAGGGAGTAACTAATTAACTCACATTATGTGGGACTTGAACCTAGAACCTCACGGTGCAGGCACGATGCTCTCAACAGTTGAGCTAACAACTTTTTATTTTATGGGTTGGATCTTCTTTGAATATTTGAACATAAAGAAAATTATTACTCCCTCTGTTTCTAATTAGACGTCCACTTCTAGAAGAAATTCTTGTCCCTTTTTATATGTCCATTCTTAATTATCTAAACTATATTTTACTTTTATAGTCCTAATTAATAAACAACTATCTTCAGTCATATTTAATGCACACACACAATATAAAGAGAAAAGAGAAATGGGTAAAAGTGGAAAATTATAATAAATATGTCAAAAAAGTTAGTGAAATATCTATTTTTCTTACGTAACACGATTCGGTTAAAAAAGACATATAATTAGGGAATAGAGGGGTATTAATTGAATTAACGAAATTTTACTGAGTATATCGATTATACAATAAAAAGTTATCTTGACCAATAAACGGTTGGTTCAAGTGATTTGACATATGTTTCCCTTAAATAACATCTCGATTTTGAGTTTTCTGAATTAAGAAAATCATTGTTGGGAGAAATTTACCTTTATAATAGGGCGACCTGTACAAGCAAAAGTTAATTAACTTGTAAGAATTTTTTTTAAAAAAAAGTTATCCAATTTCGTGCACTGAGTATCTTGAGTAAATTAGGGGAATGGGTAGCAACTATCTTGAGGTTTCATTTCCAACGCTAACTATCTTCACTAAAATAGGGGAATGGGTATAGGGGTTGGGAATATTGCAACTCTATATCTGGAGTAAATTAGGGGTTTTTGGATTCTGATTTCCAATTATTATACTCCCTTCGTTCCATTTTGAATGACCACTTTGCAAATGATACGGAGTTGGATGTAGGAGACTTTTTGCTTAACTTTTCAATTTGATCCCTCTTAATTGAGTTTTGATTGTATATATATTTAGGATCTTTCACCTTGGATGAGTGGCTTTCAAGTTTCAACAGCCTATTGCAAGCAATCTGGAAGGTCCTCGTTTTTTGAGAACGAACATTTCGAAATATTTTATTAATGAAGCTTTACAATGGAAAATTGGTTGTACGGAACAAGCTGATGCTTCTTAATTGCCTTGTTCTACTTAAAACAGTTCTTTATATGGCTGCCACCATAAACAAAACTATCTCAGTTTTGTATATTAGTTGCAGGCTGGTGAGTTAAAGTTATTTGTTTTCACACCAGTGTACGCAAGTTTTATCTGTTTGCAGGAGTAGTAATTAGCTCCAAATTGATGACTTGAAATTTAACCATTATACAAAATAATCATATATACAGAACTATATAGTATTATATGCATATATATATTTGCGCCTGATCGATCCAAGTAACGAGAGTTACTAATTGGATCGTTTCGCATATGTTTCCTTTCCTTTTAAATTCAATAAATTATACTTTTGCCTTTCAAAAAATGTAACGAGAACGTGAAACTGAACTTGTAAATTATTAACTTTTTATGAATAAATTAAGTTCGGATTACTATATGTCATATATAGTAGATTTTAATCTCCATATATTTGAAGGATAACAATTAACAAATATTTCATTATTTACCAATTCATGTTTAATCAAGTGGAAAAAAAACTCAATGTCAAAGAAAATAGCCATTTGAAAAGACATCAGTTCACTCAACTCGACTCCTGTATAGATTTTGCATATATATATATATGGAAATTAAGGCTTTGTATATAAAAAACATAAAGATAAGTATATCCCACCAACTTAATTAATACAACACGTATTATTACCTCATTAGAAAAAACATCATCATTTATTTGATTAAGCCACAATATAAATTGTGGATAGTACATTGGAATTACAAAAGCAACATTTGTAAAATCCAAGATTATTATTTATAGTAATACATTAGAGACGAGGCTGCTTATTTAGTAGTGATAAGACTCGAAGTCGATCGGTTTATGATTAGATGCATGCAGTGATATGGGTATTGCAGTAATTGTTGAACGCACTGACTGCAACTTTGAGGTCAACGAGCGGCAGAAAGGGCAAGAGATGACGAACAAATTTGAGAAGAATGCAAGGACAAACATTAGCATTAGCACCAACCAAACCAAGAATGGACCTGCAGCATGGGTTACTTGGGTTGCTGCCCAGGGCCAGGGTTCCGTTAACACTCACAACACTCGCCAAAGCAGTGCAGACATTTAAAGATAGGATGCTAGTGCATGTGGAAGGTGGCGGTGGCAGTGGCGGTGGCAGTGCCAAGGAGGCGCTGGCCATAGTTGAAAAGAGAAGGTTGAGGGCAAGGAGAAGGGCAATTGCTGCTGAAGCCTTGGAATTAGAATAAGCCATTTTTGCAATGCCAATTAGAGCTTATGTGTGTGATGGATGATATGCTTAATTAATTATTGTATGGTAAGTGTGAGAAGTAAGTGGTGATGGCATAAGGCTCAATATGGTAAGCTATTTATAGAAGGGTTGGGTATTTGTTTGGGTTTTGGCACAACACAAATTTTTGGGATTAAGGTAATTAATTAATACTCCCTCTGTCCCATTTTATAAGTCCTTTTTAACTATATCATCAAGATTAAGAAAGTTAGTTAGAGCTCAAAATTTTATGTATTTTTATATTGTTGTTCTATTTTTACCCCTATACTTTTTCCCCCACTCACTCTCTCTCCTCCTACTCACTTTCTTAACTACCCTATCATTTTCAAGGCTAATTTTGGAAACAACTTACAAATATGTATTGGGTTTAGAAAGTGGATTTATATTTTGGGACAAAAAAAGCTTCTAGAAGGGGACTTATAAAAAGGGACAGAGGGAGTAGTATTTTTAATGGCTAAGAGCTGCCTTTCGGAAAGCCTACTTCAATATTTCAATCAAGGTCTCTGCGAACTGCGAAGAATTATGAGTAAATAAAATTAATATATTCCCTCTATATATCCACTTTTAAACTCGTTAATTACTAGATGAAATATATATATATACTTTATAGGACTCGCTGCAATAATAAAGAACCAAAATCTAGAACCCTAGCCGCTCCTCTCTCCCCTTCTCCCTCTCCCCTTCTCGTTGGTATATTTCGACTCCTCCTCCTTCTTGGTTGTCACGCCAAGGGGGAGGAGGAGGATTTGGATTTTGTTTTCAATAAGGATTCAAATCTACAAATCTGACCAGTTTTATTTGAGTTTTTTTTAGTCGGTTTGAGTCAGTTTGTTTTTTTAGTCAGTTTCGAGTCTAGTCTCAGTTCTTTTTGAATCTGAGTTATCCAGTCTGAATTTTATGATAGTTTTAAGCATGATCAACTTTTTATTTATTCAGATTTGTGGTAAAATCGTTGTAATCCTTTTCTTTTGGGTGCCAAGGAAGAGATCTGTTCATCAAATCAATCACTTGATCATCGTTGATCAAAACTTTTTGTTTGGAAGAACAAGCGACAACGAGGGAGTGATGGGTATGATAGCGAGACATCAACATGATTCACGACCGGTGTTTTGGATTTTCAAGGAAGATCCAGTTTTTCCGGTGCAAAAAGTAATCGATTACGTAGTTTTACTGAGATTTGATGTAATGAGAGATGATATTCCTAAAATTATTGTAAAATCAATTACATGAATGAATGAAAGTTATCCATTTTTCAAAAAAAAAAAAACCAAAATCTATATGTGCATCTCTACCCATTGCTATAAGTCTAAATTCCTTTTGTATATATATCCGGTTTATCAACACTTCCACGGGGTTAGATTATTGTTAGGTATAAGGGATGAAGCTATATATATAGAAGATTTTCCCCCATTTGCTTCTTAGCCATTAATCAAACCCTAAAGTACTCTACAATATAAATCCTAAAGAAGAAAAAGATCATTATCTTGAAACCCTAAAATAATGAAATTATATAGATGCTGGCTTCCACTCCCAATTTGCATGCATGGTTCGAATAGCTTGTTAAATTATTTTTTGAGTTAGAATCAGCAATCACAGTTATATGTGTCTTCCCATTTACATAGATTGAAAACGTACAATTCATTTTATTTTTAATAATTTTACTTTATATTCTACGTACGGATTAATCAAAGAGACCTCACTTTTTTGTCATTTTTGAAAGTTTTCTATTAAAATATACATAAATGAGAGCGAGGAGTAGTTGCACGTGTTTGAGACTTATAGAGAATGTTTGAGACTCCAAATCATCAAGATATATAGCTCGAGTCATGAAATGAGATCAAGATCTAAACACGAGGATGAACATTTTCTCAATCTATTGTAATTTCTAGTACCTCTCTTGTAATTTCATTAATATAAATGAAAATTATATCATCTTTTTCTTAAAAAAAATCAATTAATGTAATACATCTCTTTGTGTGAGAAATGTGTGTATGTTTTTCTACAATAACAAACTCTTGTTAATCTGTTGGATGGAAGAGCTTGATATCTTAAATAAAGGGTTTAATGAGTAAAAAGGCCCATGAACTTATACCGAACAGTCAAATAAGTCCATAAACTTTTATTTTGGCCAAATAAGCCCCTGAACTCTTAAAAAGTCCAAATAAGCCCTAATGCTAAGGCTAAATGCTCAAATAAGGACTAAATGTATAAAGATTTTCTCAAACAAGGATCAAAATACACAATTTTAACAAATTAGAAAACATACTTAATATTTTTTTACAAATTGGATACAATATAAGTTAATGCTAGTGTGTGAGATATATATAAATTGAAAAACGCACTATAATTTTATATCATATTACGTTTAATGAATTTTTTTGATTAATAGGGTTTGATTTTTAATTAACATGATAATATCATTTTTCTATCAAATTTAACGTGTATGCATGAGAAGTATTGGTTTTCATTTAAGGATTCCTTAATTTGTAAAAATTTGCTAAGTATGTGTTCTAATTTGTTGGAATTATGTATTTTGATCCTTATTTGAGAAAATCTTGAAACGTTTAGTTCTTAATTGAGCATTTAGCCTTGGTAATATAGCTTATTTGGTTTTTTAAGAGTTCAAGGGCTTATTTGACCAAAATAAAAGTTCAGGGGCTTATTTGACGGTTCGGTGTAAGTTCAGGGG